AGCTGAAAACGTTAGTATGATTTCGATGCTGTGGGACTCGAACAAACAGGTCACTAGTTCATACACCAACAATAATCTTCTCGGCTCCCTCACGGAACGAAATGTCCTCCTCACTTGCAAATCATCTTAAAACGTCCAAACCCAGTGGAGAGCTGAAGCTTTCAGAGCTGGCACCATGCGGCCAACAGCCGAGCTCCAGAGGCAGAAACCCCAGAGGGCCCAACTCAAGCTCAGGCCTCGTACTTTAGAAAAGCCTCCAACAATCGTCAGACGCAAGATTTTATATGATTGTATATGCGTCAGAAAACACTTCAATCAGAGCTGGTGCCAGGACGAAGGTCGCGGTGCAAAGGTCACTGGGTCAAATCCCTGGGAAACGTGCTGGAGACGAACAGAAGCAGAGGAGCAGGTCGATCTTTCTCAATCCGGGAATTATTATGTATTTTAATTTGTATTGTTTTGTCTTATCGATTTACACATTTCTATACGTTTCTTACTTTTTTTCCTGGAGCCTCGAGGAGCCAGCGAGGAGCCAGACATGTGCAGCAGACCGTGACTAACGCGATGTTAAACATCTCTCCACCGTTTTCTCTCGAAGAAATGAAATCATCAGCTTCCTCTTCGCTGCGTCGTCTGATCACCTGACACATGCACATCATCCTCTGCCCTCGGGAGACACGTGAACTGTGGCCTGATGCACTTCAACTCAAACCACTCTGACTCATCGCCACTTCTCTGGTGTCTGGAAAACGTTGCTATTTTCACACCATGCAGATTTATTCTTGTGGGTTTTTTTTTTTAGATCGCAGCTCCGATCATGACTTAATGCAACAGAACAAGGTCGACACCATTTAACTGCGTCTGGAACCCGAAGGGTCAAAAACTATATTCAGTCTCATTTAAGAACCATTTTGGTGCAGTTGCATTTTTTTTTTTTTTTTTTTTAAACCATAAAAAGACCATTTACTAAAAGTGAAGCCAAAATCTGTTGATCGCCTCCTGGTGGAGGGCTGCAGTACAGGTCATAAACCCCACCTCCTCCATGTTAGTGGATGGAACATGAAATATAAGCACACATCAAGTACATTTGACCAATAATCAACTAGAACATCTCGGTGGCAACACAATTAAATCCAGAGTCATAGGGTTAAAAGCAACAGCAGATGTATTTACTCCACTAACGCCACCTACAGGCTGTGGGTGTTAAAGCTCGTTTTCTTTACTTTCTCACAGAGGTGAGTGTGAAATGTTTTTTAAAGAAATTTAAAAAATTGGTCGAGACCTAAATCACAGGATTGAAACGACACATATGAACAGAAACTAAATTAATATGTAGCTCGAGCCAGAATCTTTATTTTTGTTTATCTGTACTTCGAAAGCGTTTGTAAAAATCTGTTTTTGTGACTTAAAGGTTATTTAGATTGAAACATAGAATTATAGTCGATAGTTCAACTAAATCCTACACGCTGACCCTTTAAAGCCTCGTGAGTAAATAAAAAGTACATTTCGCTTAAAAATATCTGCACGAGTCCGAAACAGAAAGCACAAAGAGGATTCTCCTTTTTTTTTTTTTA